AATGGCGAGAAAGACAACAGGCAGTGAGAAAAGAAGTAAGCAGAAATACTAATGGAGAGTAATACGAAAAAGAATGAGGGGGAGAAGCAGAGGAAGAAGAAGAAGAAGCGGAAAAGGAAAAAGAAGAAGAAGAGGAGGAAGAAAAAGAGGATGAGGAGAAGGAGGAGGAAGAAGAAGAAGACGAAGAAGAAGAAGAAGAATATTCACAGCACAACTACAAACATATCTAAATACGCAGTAAAGCATCTCAACATAACCAGTCAGCATAATCAGCTTTATTGTCCAACAAGAATGAAGCAAAAGGGCTACTATTCTTACATCAAGAAACTGTTGCATACTTATATACTGAAGCACTCTAGCGCAGAGCCCGCAAACAAGTATTCGACTGTCAGAAATGTCACGCCACAACACAGATACATGTTAATATTATATTCACAATAATGAAATTATTGTTTGATTTTTTACATTGTCACAGCTCTTTTGATGCGAGGCTAGTCCAACAGAAGAAAGCGTTTGCTTTCTCCAAGGAGCTAGTGCAATGTTAGTACACACAGTTAAAAAAAAAAAAAATATATATATATATATATATATAAATATTTATTACTGAATATTAAATAGACAAAAAACAAAGGAAGAAAATAATGTAAATCTGGTTTTTATCTAAGGAAAGTGTATACCGTAAAAGTAAGTGTAAAAATAAACGGAAGCATCATTTAAATAACCCAAATCTCACACAAACTCTGAAAAAGTAAAGGAAGACAAGTTAGATGAACTATTCGAAAATTAAATTCCCAAAAATAAGGTTTCGTGAAATAATGCACTGAAATCAAACCACATGAGTAAATAACCAAATAATTTGTAATGTAATTAGGTATAGTTTAGATATACACGGAGCACGAACAAATGAGTGACTAGACAAAATAAGAAGATATCAATATCATAATTTATGAACAGGTATGTTTTTTAAATGAACAGTTATGCTACCTTGTATTACACTTTGTAAGCTCTACCTTCATCCTATATATGAATTATAAATCCGTTCCCGTGTGGGATGAAGTTTTCGTTATATTGAAGCCCCACACTGGTTGTGACAGGGGGCCCTAATATAACCCAACCTATGGATTGAACGGGGTTTCTGGGAGCTATCCACGGGGATCCTCATCCGAGTGGTAAAACTTCGTGTCACAGGGTGTTTATCGCTCAGTAAAATGTCCTGGTAGGATTAAACATCAATCAACCGTAAATTCTAACAGTTTATGTAAAATAATTGTTTGCCTCATTCAAAACTTATTCAATCTCCGGGAAAGGGGGGGGGGGGGATACGCATTTTAAAAAGGCTTAGCGCTGGGGTATGCCCCCCTCCCAACAAGTTTGGAAACACTGCTCTACCTATTGGCTGATTTGGTTATATTCTGACCAGATGATCCAATCATTCTTTGATGATCAGTAAAATCATATATTTCGGTACTATGCTTACCATGGTACATAATTCTTAGTTGTTGACTCTGTTTCTTCTAGTCCGCCCCCCCCCCCCCCCCCCCCCCCCCCCCCCCCCCCCCCCCCCCCCCCCCCGCCAAGCCGTATTTATTGTAAATCTGATCTCACATGCTGTAATTTTGCGATTTCTCTTTTTCTTGGACTGTTTATATCCGGCATTGAAAACACAATGAACTGCCTTTTCCTAACCTGTTAATTGCAAGTAATAGTTGCGTGTTTTGAATAGCAACCGTTTCTGGTTTAAACAGTTAACACAGTTCAGGTCGCAGTTTTACACCACTGCAGATTCAGACTTGTAAAAAAAAAACCAGTCACAACTGGGAATGTTTCTTGTGATGTGTTGGAAAGTCGTATACAACATAGCACTAGATATTTATTGCAAGAAGAACGACTGTCATCAAAACTGGACTTTACAGGTCATATATATATATATATATATATATATATATATATATATATATATATATGTGGCGCTGGGGGGGGGGGGGTGCCAGGGTATTTGGTTCTAAAAAAATTAAAAGGGGTAAATCATAAACAGTTTAAGATAGTGACTCAGAGAATCAACTTTCCACCTTTTCGTTCTCTCTCCCAGTGGTGTTCAGATAAGAAGGCCATATGTCTCCAAACGTCTCTATGAAGTCTGTGATGCGATGCATGTCTTTCACTTTTCCATGCAATTTGGTTTCCGTTGGAAAGCCAATCTGCCAAACCTAGGATCTCTCTACTACAAAATACACGATACTTAAATTCCTGTTGGCTTTGCCAACATCTGAACAATACAAAGTTTATCAGTACTATCGACTTTACAAAACCTTGTATTTTTACTAATTCATTTATTACTGATTACTCCGTGCATATTTTATTTTTCTGAACAATTTATTTCCTATATAGTTGTTATAAAAACAGCTCAGTTAGGTCACTTGTTGCTTTAACCCCATTCTACCCTTTATTGTATTGTAAACCACCTGATTCGAAAAATTTATTACTGGTCGTTTAAAAAAAAAAAAAAAACCGCGTATTCATTTTGACTGTTGACACAATTCCATGCAATGACATGAAAAAGCTGCGTAGAGCTTTCGCAAGGACACGAAACAGTCTCGACAATCAATAATTATCAAAGGCATAAATTAATTTGCAATTAGTAAGATTCTAATTCATAATAAGCCATTAAATAAGATTGCACACAATATTAATGGAAAAAAAAACTGCACCGGAAAAGATGCATGAATAAATTAATGTGAATGTACACAGCTATAAGGTAACATTTATTAATAAATTATGTGTACCAAATTAAGAAATATGCTACATCAGAAGACAAAAGAATAAGCCACACTGTTTCAAACGTCATGGCACACTCTTCTGTCTATGTTTGAAACTCAAAACAGCACAATAAATGTATAGACCTTGAAAAACTTTGTACATGTAAGGCACTCTGTGGTTATGAAGTAATAGTAAATAACTGTAGTCGTTAGAAACATTACCATTTGAAGTGCATAGGAATTGATGACACATTAAAATGCAATATAAGAATACATTAATGAATAATTAAGTACATTGTACCACAGTGTATCTAGTTTCTTCATACATAATAATAAATATAAGAAAAACATAGAAATTTAGTAATTTTTTAAAGAAAAGAATTAAAAACAACAACAACAAACATACAGAGGAGCATCTTGCTGAGCGGTTAGAATATAGGGTCCTCTTCTGGCAGACCCAGGTTTTAACACACTGTAAGGGACCACATTTACCAACTGGCCTCAAATCCACGGTCCTAAAAAGTGATAAATACAGCCGTAGAAAAAAAAAAGTGGACATTAATCATAGTTTGGTTTATATTTTCTACGTTGATACATATATCATCATCATGTAGCAGGTCTTTTGAAGAACGTCGCTCCCATCACTGTCTGCCCGAGAAAAGCTTGGTCTCCCGCCAGCTCTCCCTCCTCGTGCACTTTCATATTCAAGCAGTCGCTGATATCCTGTGCCCCTGCCCTTCCTTCCTGGTACCATGCCTTTTGCTGTTATTCCCCCTCCCCCAATCCGTCATGGCGCTTGATATGACAAAAATATTTCAGCTTCATAGAAAAGATGCTGTTTATTATCGCATCTCCCTTGATGTTCAGATTTAAAAAAAAAAAGTTTCTTCTCATCTTTGTCTACGGTATTCTGAGAATCTTTCTTTAGCATTTCGGCTCAAAAGCCGTTTTTATATTAAAGATACATTTCAATTATTGTTAATATTCTTCGATGAAACGTAGATGATTGCATAGACATAATGATATCTGATGAATTAAAAAAAAAAAAAAAAGAATGCATTTGTCCTCACGCTTATAAAATCGCAAGCAGACTTTGTTATACAGTTAAGCGGACATCTCAGGAAAAAGAGTACGTCTGTAAGCGGATTTTATTAGTAGATGGCAACCGTGCAAGTTAAACATAAGTTGGTTTATAAAAGTCTAAATTTATAGTTATCAGAAACATATGTCAGAGTTAATGTTTGTTATTTCAAGAAAGTAATGCGTTACTTTCTTTCATAATATTTGCGATGAACTCTAAAGTTATAAACACATTTATCATCCAAATAAATATGTGGCAGTAAATCTGATATCGTATATCTGGCAGAAGCACTGAAACAAAATGTCACATTTTACTTGTGTTAGATTATTATTTTACAATATTCCTAATTACAATGTTTGTTGTATCACAGCTGACCACTCATTAGTCTTGCGTGGACATTCTGAAATCTTTTGGTGTTATATATATTTATAATCATGTAACATTAATTCTCAGTCCTGCATTATTTATTTATTAAATTTCAGATCACCTAAATAGCACGTCCTAACTGCCAGTTGCTGCAATATGTTTTCATTAAGCGAAACTATTTTTGTTCACAATATAAGTACTGCTGTTTATACTCTCTTATTTCAAAAATGTATTGCCATGATTAATTTTAATTTGGCAAAACAAATTATGCGCAATTTTGTTTTCCAATCTGGTTCATTATTATATGCTACAGAGAAAGCACATTAAATGTTACCTTTCTTGCCTTTTAAGTCAAGAGAGTTGACATGTCCATACTGTAATGTTTTATGTTATTAACATCTTACTTTAAATCAGTGGCTCTCAGCCTTCCTAATGCGGCGACCATTTAATACAGTTCCTCACACTGTAGCGACTCCCAGCCATACAATTATTTCCTCTGCTATTTCATAACTTCAGTGTATATGTTTTCTAATGTAGGGTCGTTGGACCCACAGGTTGAGAACCGCTGCTTTAGATAATTTCAGAACATACATTTGTTGTTCATACTTCAGAAACTGTTGACATCATTTATGTTTATGGATCACATATTCTGAGCTAGCTGGACGCTGGACTCAAAGCATTCAGAACTTTTAACCAGGTTAGGAATAATAAATCCAACGTAAAAGTGCATGATCTCTTAATGAATTATTTGTTTAAGCATTAAGGCTACTACCAAAGTTGCTATATGGTTGCAGAGTTTAAAAATCAGAGGCGGCAACCTCGTCATAGAATGACGACTGATAGTGTTGCGATGCAGGCACTGAGCTGTACTGAGGCTGGGGTTTCGGAGCCACAGGTGGAGGTGGCTGTTTCCCCCTCCTGTTAAGAAAAAATAAAGAACAAACCAAGATTAACTAAAAAGGATCAAACAAAACTTACAAACACCGTCCTTAAAGATACTGCTAATGTGTTTTGTTTTTCTTTATTTAACTGAATTCTCGCTCCTCATCATCGTCATCATCTCTTTCTTCTTCTTCTTCTTCTTCTTCTTCTTCTTCTTCTTCTTCTTCTTCTTCTTCTTCTTCTTCTTCTTCTTCTTCTTCTTCTTTTCTTCTTCTTCTTCTTCTTCTTCTTCTTCTTCTTCTTCTTCTTCTTCTTCTTCTTCTTCTTCTTCTTCTTCTTCTTCTTCTTCTTCTTCTTCTTCTTCTTCTTCTTCTTCTTCTTCTTCTTCTTCTTCTTCTTCTTCTTCTTCATCATCATCATCATCATCATCATCTTCTTCTTCTTCTTCTTCTTCTTCTTCTTCTTCTTCTTCTTCTTCTTCTTCTTCTTCTTCTTCTTCTTCTTCTTCTTCTTCTTCTTCTTCTTCTTCTTCTTCTTCTTCTTCTTCTTCTTCTTCTTCTTCTTCTTCTTCTTCTTCTTCTTCTTCTTCTTCTTCTTCTTCTTCTTCATCATCATCTTCTTCTTCTTCTTTTCCTTTTTCTTCTAATGGCAAACTAAGGAATGTACAAATTATACTAAAAAAACTAAAACAATCAAAAATTGATGGGGCAGGTTCTGCAACGCCCTGTAAAGGATACGCAACTAACTTATTTTGCCTTTTTAAGAAATCACTGAATAAATTAGTTGCATATCCTTTTACAGGGCGTTGCAGTACTAACCCCGGCATTTTTTGGCTGATCTTGGCTCTCAAGTCGACCAAGCTTTAAATGGGTATCAGGTAAAGTCCTGGGAAGTAAAAGCATTTGACGTGATATTAACCAAATCACCCATCGAATGTCTTAACTTTGCGTGTAAATCCGTTTTATTAGCTCATTTGTGTGCAGTTAGTTGTTTTTTGCCGCTCGCTCGGGCATATGCACTTCAACTTCGAAGGAAGCTCCCAACTAACCGACTCTTACGACATGCTTACTGGAGTGACAGTGGGGCTGCTCTTGTTGTCCCCACAATGTAGCCCTAGAATTGTTAAAAGGAGCCAACACTATGCCTTTAAACAGCCAGTAAGTTGACAGTCGATGTCTCACCTGCCATCTTCCTGGCTAAGAATCCTGAGAACTGCCGACTGGCTCCAGTCACGGTCACCTGACGGGGTAGTTGCCGAGGGAGTTGGTTTGCTATAAACAATGAAACAAATGTAACCATGATGTTTAATTGAGTGTAAATGATGCAAATTAAACCACAATGCTTTTACTGAATCTAAATGATACTTCTTTATTCTTTGTTTATTCGATGGATCAGCATTATGACACACGGGTGTAACCCATAAGTGCCCGTTTTACTTCTAACTCAAGCCTGAGTCTGAAGAATCTCAGCGGAGTATTCACGAATTCCGTTGCACCGGCGAGGATCCTGAAATACTTTGGGTAGATTTTTGACTCCAAAATTTGCCCGGGCAGCGCCGTAAGGCTACTTTTTTTCGATTTTTAACTGCCAATGTATTTTTTTACTTGCGCAACAATACACACGGGTGTCTGGTCTCACTACACAGAGAACAAGGAAAATTACTAGAGATTACGTGAAAAAAAACCAGCATTCACCGGGGTTTGAAACCAGGACCTTCAGCACTCTAGGTGGATGCCATACCTCGAGACTACTTAGCTCCAAATTTAACCATGATGTTTTAATTGAATTTACCTCTGATACATTATCATCATCATGTGCCATGCCAACTGGCGTAGGCGTTCATGCGTCTCCACAGATCACGATCCCTGGTTGTCTGGAACAGCTCTTTTGATGATACCCCTCCATGCCATCGTTTCAGCCCATCCATCATCATCTCTCGTGGTCTCTACCCCTCTTTCCACTGATCTTTTCAGTTGTCAGGATGAGATTTACTTTTATTGGCCTCTTTAAGCAATCGTTGTTAATTACTGTGGCCGAACCTCTGACACACCTCCCAAAAATTAAAGGATCCTGTTTACGTCATCGGGGCCTGTGGTGTAGGCGTTTAGAATGCTCTTCATTATTATGTGGTACACGGTTCGATTTCGGCTGTAGGCGATTTGGCAGCATCCCTTCCCCCTTTTGCGTTGAATTCGACAACGGAATTGATAGCCAACCGTCCAGTAAGCAATGGCAAACTAATAAAAGTGATACTACATAGTAAAACCAAACAGCAAAAGAAAAGAAAAATGCTAGATGCTAGAATTATGTTTTACCATCCAATCAGCACTCCGTAACATCCCACTAGCCGAATTTACTTCCCATCACATGACCTGTGTGCCATGATGTTGATCCATTGATTAAACATAAACATAAATGTATAGTTGTGAAACAAATACGAGAAGTATCTGGGCCACTAAACCAATAGTAGTAACAGTTATAAGACAAAGCAGATAGCGCTATACTCGACACATCCTGAGTAGAAACCAAGAGAGAATCACCAGACAGGCACTAAAATGGTAAATACAGAAACTGAGAAAGCGAGTTCAAAACAAACCATAAAACAAATGTTGACGAGAGTAGCCAGAAGTGTAGGGATGGATCTCATCCACCATACTGAATTTATTGATTAGTCTAGAACGAAATAGAGTAATGGATTGCGAGCCTTATGTGGCATATAGCACAGTAGGACAATGATGACGATGATGATAGTGATGATAATTATAGTGATGATGATGATTATGATGATGGTGATGGTTATGATGATAAACATGATTTAAAAAAAATATTTTTTTTACGTCAGTGACAAATTTGGCATGTGATGCTTTTTTTTAAAAAGCCCAATAGAAATTCCGTGGGTGATGTCTGTTGTCACTATTACACCAGCCACTTTTACTTTCCAGAACACGACCTCTTACATATTTTATGCTGGTTGGATCTCGGAACCAAGGAAAACTGGGAAAACAAAACATCTTGTCTCGATTCTCGGATTCTACTCAAGACATTGGGTTGGACAGCAACTATGCTACCATGGTTACCAATGTACAGTTGTAAAAGTAAAGGACGCTCTTCCCCGCCTCCAAGTGTATTGGGCATATAGGGGTGGACGAATATTGTATATACCATTAGGCACTCGGTAAGTGTTGGGGTCAACATCACGTCGGCCGCCTTTACTTTCCAGGTGGTCACCTGATACCCATTAAATGCTAGGTCGACCTTGGAACTAAAGTCATTTAAAAAAAAACAACAACGACCTTTGTATCCGCAGACAAGTGTATAGCATCTACACCATGGCCGCTGCCAATGTACAGTCATAAAAAATATCAAGGACCCTTTTCAACGCCTTTAGGCGCATAGGGCATTTAGGACTCTACCTATATTTTATAGACCAATCGGCACAAGATGGGTGAGATGGTCAGCATAACGCCGGCCGCCTTTACTTCATGGAAAGTGCACCCGGTACCCAGTCAAGGCAGTGTCGACCTGAGATTCAAGGTCATTTCTGAAAAAAAATCTGGCTCCGCCAAGGAGCCAACCCACGACAATGTACAGTTATAGAGTATACTGAACAATGAAACATCAAACCTGGCTGGTGGCTGTTCTGTGGCATAGCTTTCTTCCGCTTCCCATGGCTTCACTCCAGTAGGTTTCAAGCTGCTTCGCCAGGTAGGCAGTCCTCTATCTTCTTCCTCGTGACGCTGCCAAGAAGGTGCAGTCTGACGGTAGCAGAATTCAATTAGCGTTCACATAAATATGGTTTAGAATGTATGTAAGTTGTACCCCATCAGGACATTACACAAGCGATAAACACCCGGTGACACAAAGTACCACTATGCTGATGAGGATCACCAGTGGAGTCGCCCCGGAAATCCCGTTCAGCTATAAGGCCATATTTAGGGCCCCCTGGCAAAAGCCAGGGTGGGGTTTTAAAATAAATAAAAATTGCATCCTACAAGAATGTCTAATTATTGTCTTATTAGCTGTCTTGTATTGCATCTTTTAAGTAGTTAAAGATAATAACTGAGATTTTCTTTAATGTTTATGTTACTATTACAACTATTCGTGCTGCTGCTGCTACTACTACTACTGTTGCTGCTTCTACTACTAATGCACCCACTGCAGTAGCCGTCGCTGCCGCAACCGCCACCACTACTTTTGCTACATCAACTACTATGTATGTTGTATCCCACCAGTACGTCACACAAGTCATAAAGACCAGATGACACAAAGTGCTACCATGGGAATGAGGATCACCCGTGGAGAGGTCCAGAAAATTCCGCTCAGCCGTTAGACTGCTTCTACTATACTACTGCTATTCATGGACGTGCGGAGCAGAAAGCAACTCATGTTTTGATAGTGAGAGGCTCATTGTGTATGCTTAAAAAGATTTAAACTGTCAAACTCCGACTAGCATGGGTTGATAGCACCTGGAAGCTCTACCCCAAGAAACTATCTTGGATGTACACACCGGGACCCGCCGAGGCAAAAAGAAACGAAAGAGCTGACAGATTGACTGTGTCTGCAGTTGTTGGTGGAGGAAGAAATATGGACAGTACATACATACTGAATGCGCTGCGTTCTAGAGGCTTTGAGACAAGGGAGTCAGAGACAAGGAACCGCCTGTTGGAAATGGGTATTAAAAGAGGACAAGCATGTAGACACTGGCTGCGGGGTGAAGAAAGAAGATTTGCCAGTCAACTCCTACTGGGTGTGTTGAGCTTAAAGACACTGAGCTGGCTGCTGCATTGGAGGACGGAGCACAAATAGGTTGAACCTATGTGCTAGGATGTCGGTGCAGACAGTAAGTAACAGGTAATAACACCAAAAGTTCACAGCAGATTTCCGAAAGAGAGAGAGAGAGAGAGAGAGAGAGAGAGAGAGAGAGAGAGAGAGAGAGAGAGAGAGAGAGAGAGAGAGAGAGAGAGAGAGAGAGGCAGTTATAACAGCATCAAACCCAGGTTATTAGTCTTCTAGCCGTATGCAACAGTCCGCAGCACGGGCACCTCTTTAAGGCATCATTGTCAGCACTACCTAAGAAACACTTACGCTTGGCCGTGGATCGGAAGGTCGTGGGTTCGCTCCCTGGTGGAGCCGGACTTTTTTCAAAAATGACCTTGGCTCCCATCGACATATACTTGAGTGGGTACTGGGTGCAGTCCCGGGAAGTAAAGGCAACCGGCGTGATACTCACCATATCACCCATCTTGTGCCGATTGGTCTGTAAAATATAGGTCTAGCCCTTGACTATAAACATATGGTGCTATTGTAGTTTATCTAATGTCGTCTTTCCATATACTTCTTGATCCACCTCTTGAACTACACCCCTCTCCTCTTGTGCCGTATGCTTGTGTGGAATGACGTCACAGGATATTCTTTCTAGGAGGGCAAACCATTTGATTTTCTGTCCTTGTCTGTCATTTAGAATTGATTCTACACTGACATCACATCCATGACTTCCTTCCCGATTTGATCTCATCACTTCATCAGCATTTCTCTGTCATCTTAGATCCACAGTTGCTAATTTTGTTTTAAAAAAAAAACATACTGGAGGGAAAGTCGAAGCAGACAAGCTGGGTAGATAGATGGATATATAGATAGATAGATAAATCAAATGACAGACAGACAGACAGACAGACAGACAGACAGACAGACAGACAGACAGACAGACAGACAGACAGACAGACAGACAGACAGACAGACAGACAGACAGACAGACAGACAGACAGACAGACAGACAGACAGACAGACAGACAGACAGACAGACAGACAGACAGACAGACAGACAGACAGACAGACAGACAGACAGACAGACAGACAGACAGACAGACAGACAGACAGACAGACAGACAGACAGACAGACAGACAGACAGACAGACAGACAGACAGACAGACAGACAGACAGACAGACAGACAGATAGATAGATAGATAGATAGATAGATAGATAGATAGATAGATAGATAGATAGATAGATAGATAGATAGATAGATAGATAGATAGATAGATAGATAGATAGATAGATAGATAGATAGATAGATAGATAGATAGATTAGATTAGATTAGATTAGATAGGCAGCGATTCATGTCACAGACAACATGAAGAGTCGGAAAAAAACAATAATCCTAGACTGTAAAACAAAGGTAGAGTGTTAAATATTCATTAAATTATATTTTAATGGCGAAGACGGCGCCTGGATGTTGATTGACATGACATAACACGCATTACCGATTGAACATGTCCAGGTGCGGGTGGTGATGGCTTGGGCGCAGTTGCCGGAGCAGCTGACTGCGACTGCGAAGAATACTGAACTGTGATTGGAGTGTACGCTGTGGAAGCAGGTCTTTGAATAGGAACTTGGGTTGGCTCGTACTGGTTCTGAGTACTCCAAGCAGCTGTAGGCTGTTGTCCAGACGGACGGGTGTAGTCAGTTCCCAAACTGCTGTAGCTTGTGGGAGCTTGACTTGGCTTGGTAAACTTTGGGGCTGGTTTGAGACGGGGAGTCCTCGCTGTGGAATGATACAAAAGAAGATATATCGATTTGCAAAATGCATCTATGGGAGATACCAACGTAACGCGATCGAAACCCACTGTTGGCTGCGTGGCTTTTTATCATGGTATGGGGTGTCGCCGGTCGACCCAGCCTAAAATGGGTACCAGGATGGATGTGCTGGGGAATTAAAGACGGCCGGTATAATGCTGACCACATGACCCACCTTGTGTCGATTGGTCTGTAAAAATATGGTTGCCTTTCTTATATGCCCGAAACGCACAAGGCGTGAAATGGGGATCTTTAATATCTATGAGAGATAAGCTAAAATATAACACGACAGCATGAACATTAATCAACTCTTCCCATGTAGAGGGCATACAATTTCAACCTTTAAAGAGCGTCTGCCGTCTGCACTAGGGATGTTGGCTTCTTCTTCTATAATTCTGGTCTGCCTTTCAGCCTCAGCTTTTGAAGAGGCATTGGGTGTCAGTCTTGGTATTTGCTAGGTCTTCGTCTTCTTCTGCCTTTCTAACCCCCAGGGGAGAATAGGCCCTCGATCAATACACGCCAAGTCGTTCTATATATCTTTTTAATTTCATATGGTCATTTGTTTAAAAAGGTTTGATTCCGTCATGACCTGAATGAACCCATGACCTTTAAAACGGCAGGCGAGAGTCTAGTCACTACACAACGGTGGTTCCCACTAAATGAAAGGCAAATGCCGTTTTAAGGAACAGGAAAATATGAATGGCTGGATTTGTACAAGAGCAACCTGTATATTAGCTACAGAGCTACAGGAAAGATACCACTTATAACAGGATACACTTAAGAAGAATTTATAACCAGGTAGCAGTTATTTTAATCAAAAAAAAAAAAAAAAAAAAACCCTACACCACACGACTAATATTAATTGAAAACACATTACACAATTAAGCAGAAAGAGTTACTACAAGAGGAATTTATCAGTTTTCACTGTAAATTTTGCATTTTGTCTAAGATATTTAATGACTAAAGTTTAAATAGATCATTATGGTCTGAGAATAGCACTGTGAGGAGTTACCAGGGGATCTAGCCAACGCTCAGCACTAAGAGAAAGGCGAGACGGGTGTACAATAAGTTACTGGCACCATCGAAGATGGGGACGAAGAGCTTATGGGAGTGTCCCGAGGGCTATGATGTCGATTCTTAATTCAACATTTAACATGAGTAGATTTAAATTAAAAAAAAAAAAAAAACCACCCACACATACACACACACACGCACGCACGCACACACAAACACACGCCATTGGGACATTGGCATATGGTGTTAGACTCATATTTCTTTAAATCACTGGACACTTTATGGATAATTCATGACAGTTTTCGCCCGGGCGATGTGATTATCTATACATATGACTCAGTGTTGAGAAGCAGATGAAGTTCATGGGGAGTCGTAGCAAAAGCGCTTGATGCAACAAGGCCTGGTATATGACACTACAACATAGAGTTTGAGAATGGAGGGAGAGATAGACATTACAGCGTTTCGCTGGTTTGAGAATCAGCTGTACACACATGACATAATTGTAACTTACACACACGAAGCATGTCGAGAAGGGTAGAAAACGGTATGCTCCGTGCAGAGTGGCAAGCATAGCTTCAGAGGTCCCGTGAGTTAGTATCTTGTGGATATTTTATCCAAGATTTGCCGGAGTATTAGGGAATGAACAGTAGATAACCTGTCTGATTCTGCACAGCTGGTGGTGAATTGGTGCGTGACAAGCTAAATGTGGTAAGGGTCATCTGGAAGCATGTGAACAGTGCGGAGGCACGGATGGATCCTTACGTTCTGAGAAGAATGGTGCTGCGAGGAGTTTCCAGGGATTCTGACCATCAATCAACAGTTAAGGGAAAGGTGAAGCGGATGCACGATCAGACTGTTACTGTTAATACCGGTATTGGAACTTTGCGCTTGCTGCTGAAGATGTGGATGAAGCGCTAGTGGAAATGTCCCGAATGCTGTGATGTCGATTTTTAATCAAACTCTAAAGAGTTTACTGGTGATGTGGTTTGCTTCTTTTTTCTTTTTATGTTGTCAACATCTACTTTGTGCCGCTAGGCGTGACTGTTTAACAGATTTTCGCTTGGTTGCTTGGCAAGCTGTGATGTAAAGTATTACGTTATCAAAAACTCCAGCGATCAGGATCTATTTTCTTCTGGCTCTCCATCTGACTCTCCATGTTTCTATCTCCATGATCATACTCTTTCTGCCATTAACTGCATCGTCATCATCTTCTTCTCCTCCCCCCTCATCTACTGCTCTTTACCCCCCCCCCCCCCCCATCCTCCCACATGGAGCATATACCCGGAACCAGTTGATGCCAGTTTATCTTTTCCTTTGCTACTGCATACAGCTCACCCAGTGTCCTTCATATCTTCTAACATCAGTCTCTAGATCCTTTCTCCATTAGCATTTTGGTCTGAATTTGTTTTTCTATGTCCCTGTGGGTTTTAATACAAATACATCTTAGTTATATTGATTTCTCAAAATGTATCCTTTCCAACGCCAGCGTCTTTTCCTCAAATCTTGATTCATTAGAATTTGTTTAGTTTTCTCCCAAAGCTCAACCTAAGTCATTCTATCACACCATCTGATATGCGAACCATTTCAGTCCTTGTTTCTCAATGAATGGATATGTTACTTCCCCACTTTTCCAAGGACATTTCTTCTACCTATTTTAGGTCTGGGTTATTCGTTGTCCGATTAGGCCTCTTGATGTTAACCTAAAGACCAATAATCAGCCAATGTAAATCTATACTGTTAGACTGAAACACAAGCACAGACAAATCTGAGAGTTTACTGCCACACAACTAATTAGTCAGATTTCACAAATTCAGCGATGGAAACCTGCACACAGTTTAGAGCATAGGCATTTCTAGATGCTCCGTAATAAAAAGAAAATTAGTAAGCAAAATGTATTATTAATTTCTGTTTGAAAAAGTTTAAAACAAATATCTAGTAAGTATACATAACAATACAATAAAAAATATCACCAAAAAATACAGAAGCACATTTTGAAAGAAACGAAATCAGATTATACTGCATTAGCAACGGAAAAGTAAATAATAAACTTTGGGCTTAGAAGGTTAATTAAGTCTACGGAAACTATTGAAATGAACCAGATCTAAACAGTCAATCTATACTCAGAAGCAAATATCGTGCAAACAAAACATCCCCTGTCCAGGGCCATGACGCTGACAGTACCTTGAGTATAGTTGTGGAATTTATATCTGCTGACATATAATGTCTGTATTATTAGTCTGTAGGTTTGTGTGTGTCTGTACGTGTTTGTGTGTATGTCTGTGTCTGTGTGTGTGTGTGTGTGTGTGTGTGTGTGTGTGTGTGTGTGTGAGAGAGAGAGAGAGAGAGAGAGAGAGAGAGAGAGAGAGAGAGAGAGAGAGAGAGAGAGAGAGAGAGAGAGATGCAGGGTGTTTAGAAACAGCGGAACCTAAAAAAATGTCATATTATTTACTGCCATTGGTGTGCAATTCTAGGGATGGTCTGTTGGAGTCGACACTCTGATGACTGCCTTATGCATTGAGTGGGTGTACAGTATTGCTAGTTTATGGAAATGTCTCCCTAAATAAATGTTACCAAGGGACAGTTATAGTAAAGTAAAAAGGTCCCCTTTCCACGTCTTTAGGCGTATAGGGCTAGATCTATATTTTTATAGACCAATGGGCACTTGGTGGGTGATGTGATCAGAATCACGCCGGCCGACTTTACTTCCCAAGATTGCACCTGGTACACGCTCAAGACTGGGTCGGCCTGGGAGTCAAGGTCCTTTTGGAAGAAATAAAAAGTATGGCAGCGTCAGGACGCAAACCCAGGACCTTCCGATCTGCAGGCGGGTGTCTAGCCGCCAAAAGGTACAGTTATGAGTAATTTTGACCGGTAAACCGTTGTTTGACACTGAATATTCAAAATGTGTACCTCTTATGTACTTGACTGTTTAAAAAAGTGTTCAGACAAAGAAAGAAAGTGTGCGGAAAAAGGATAAGTAATAGCAGTAGTATCAGTAGTAGTAGAAGCAGCAGAAGCAGTAGTAACAGTAGTAGTAGTAGTAGTAGTAGTAGTAGTAGTAGTAGTAGTAGTAGTAGTAGTAGTAGTAGTAGTAGTAGTAGAAGTAGCATTAGTAGCAGCAGTAGCAGTAGTAGTAGTAGTAGAAGAAGTAGTAGAAGTAGCAGTAGTAGCAGTTGTAGCAGCAGTAGTAGCAGTAGTAGTAGTAGTAGTAGTAGAAGTAGCAGTATTAGCAGTAGTAGTAGAAGTAGTAGTATAAGTAGTAGCAGTAGTATTAGCAGCAGCAGCAGCAGTAGTAGTAGTAGTAGTAGTAGTAGTAGTAGTAGTAGTAGTAGTAGTAGTAGTAGGAGTAGTAGTAATAGTAGTAGCAGCAGTAGTAGAAGTAGCAGTAGTAGCAGTAGTAGTAGCAGCATTAGTAGCAGTAGTAGTAGCAGCAGTAGTTGCAGTAGTAGTAGCTGTAGTAGTAGAAGTAGTAGTAGTAGAAGTAGTAGTAGCAGTAGTAATATAAGTAGTAGCAGTAGTAGTAGAAGTAATAGTAGCAGTAGTAGTAGAAGTAGTAGCAGTAGTAGTAGAAGTAGTAGTAGCAGTAGTAATAGAAGTAGTAGCAGTAGTAGTAGAAATAGTAGTAGCAGTAGTAGTAGCAGTAGTAGTAGCAGTAGTAGCAGCAGCAATAGTAGCAGTAGTAGCAGCAGTAGTAGCAGTAGTAGTAGAAGTAGAAGTAGTATTAGCAGCATTAGTAGTAGTAGTAGTAGTAGTAGTAGTAGTAGTAGTAGTAGTAGTAGTAGTAGTAGTAGTAGTAGTAGTAGTAGTAGCAGCAGCAGCAGCAGTAATAGTAGTGGTGTTGGAAGAAGAAGAATCAGAATACGTTAGTTGCGTATCCTTTATAAAATGTTGCAGAAACTAACCCACGCATGTTTAGCTTTTGTTTTTCTTGCCAACTTTAAGTCCCGTAGTAGCAGAAGAAGACGAAGGGAAAAATAAAGAAGAAAACCAAGAAGAGAAAGGGGGCAGGAGGAAAGAGAAGAAGACAAAGAAGAGGAAGAAAAAGAACCCTCACCAGCATCACCCTGACAGCAGCTATTTCAAGTGTCTATGTGTGTGTGTGTGCCAATGTGTGTATGTTTTTATGTTCATGTCTGTCCTTGTGCACGTTATCAAAACCTGCGTATTTAAATCCCTAGCAACAAAATGCCAGTAAAAAAAACAAGTCCTGGTACTGGCAGCTGACCCCAGACAGTGTGATGCCATGCATGCTTGCTACCTTCTGATGATTGGCTGGAGCTCTGCTGAAACTGCCTTCTCCTCTCCCACACTGGGAGTATAGCCTCACCATCCTCTTGTTGTTGCTCCTGCAGCCTCTGCTGCTCCAGCAGCAACGCCGTGGGAGTGTACACCTTCTGTTGCTGGTAAGGCTGCTCGTACGCCGGATAGTTCTGTGAGCTAGGGGTGACTTCTGATGCTCTAGACCCAGGGGTGTAGTCCAAGTTTGTTTGCACTCTGTGGGTGACAGCAACATGTGAAAGACACATTAGATAGTAGCTGCCCATACTAACATATTTAGGCGCACTAGAAGTATGGTGGTAGATGCATATATTTAGAAACCAGTATGTGTTGTGACTACTTCCCTTGTCATTTCATGGTACCCAGTTTCAACTAAGTCCCTCTAGGGACTCTGGTAAAAAAAACATGTTCCTTGGAAATTACAACCTACGATCAACACCTGTTGATATGGAAGTCAAATGGTTTGTGTCCCTTTGCTGCTTCCTGATTACATGCCCCTCTCACACAAAACTGGACAATGAACAGACAGAGACAATACCTAAGAATAAGATATGTAGAGAGAGAGAGAGAGAGAGAGAGAGAGAGAGAGAGAGAGAGAGAGAGAGAGAGAGAGAGAGAGAGAGAGAGAGAGAGAGAGAGAGAGAGAGAGAGAGAGAGAGAGAGATAGAGAGAGAGAGAGAAAGGTTGATACATATATTTATATATATATATATATATATATATATATATATATATATATATATATATATATATAAAACGAGAAGAGAGAGAGAAAGAGAAAGAGAGAGAGAGAGAGAGAGAGAGAGAGAGAGAGAGAGAGAGAGAGAGAGAGAGAGAGAGAGAAATAGACGAAATAGTTAGGTCACAATTAAAAGACATTTGACTATGACAAAAAATATACTGCCTTGAGCGGGTACCGCTTGCAGTCCCACGAAGTAAAGGCGGCCGGCGTGATGCTGACCACATCACCCATCTTGTGCCAATTGGTCTATAAAAATATAGGTTTAGCCCTATATGCCCTATACGCCTAGAGGCGTGCAAAGGGACCTTTACTTTACCTCTGAGTTGAAGGTTGTCCGTATCCCTTGTAACTGTAATCAGATCCAAACTGGGGTGCGCCGCCTCCGTATCTGTCAGTGCCTGTTCTGGACGGCTGGTAACCAAACCCAGCAGCGCTGGGCATTTTGACCGGTTGCTGAAACGGAAAACGTGTATAAAGATTTTTTTAAACCACAATGGAGGTTGGTTGTAGGTAACGTGTTGATCGACTGCTGCCGTTAGGAATATTACACGTTGATGACTCAGTCCTGTCCAGGGTTTAACTCTACTCCAGTACCTCTGTCCTAAAACCATGGCAACGGTCCTTTTCTATACATCTCTTCATGGAAATCTAACACATGCCAGTCGAAAAATGTGTAACACGTTCACTAGCCTGTATGCCACAGAGCCCTACTATTATGTAAATATTATAGTTACAGTTCCTTCAACTGCTGATGACAACAGTTGAGAGAAAAAAGTTGGCGATATATTGAAACACATGACATCGTGAGTAGAAGCGTTCAAAGAATAACAGAACAGGCTCTGTTTGTTCGTTCGTTTAATTTGAATTAGCCACGTTCAACCTCTAAATATGGAGCTAGCTTCGTCTTTGTCAATATCGGTTTAAATATGGCAACAAACTGTGTTGCTATTTCATTGCGTAGTAATAAGTAATGTGTTTAATATCAGTAAGAGACACCATAGGACGAGCGTTGTTGAAAGAGACGAAGTGTATTGCACTTGAATGGACCGAATAGAGAAATAGAATGCGAGACAACACGAATAGATGACATGACACTGAAGATGTTATCAAAATTTGCTGTGGAGGAAACATAGAGACGTGTTCCTGCAGCGCGGTACCAGAAAATTATCAGCATGTGCTCCAACACTGTCAACTGTATGCTGACAACAGAGACGCAATCTGGCCTGTTTCAATCACAGCGAAGACAGAACTGTATGATACTGCGTATGGACTGCACGATAGCTTTAACAAAGGCCTACTGATATAAGTGTTCTGACAGAAGGATCAAAGAAGACGAAGAAGATAATAATAACTAAATACTGACGTTCATACTGACGTGGCGAGCATAGCTGTGGTGTATACCTCTGAGCTCATAAATCTATAAACGTATATAATTTATATACTGCAGCTATAACTGAAAGATAATATAGTCGGTGATTTGATGAAGACAGACGCAGGATCCTGGGAGTTTAGATTGCTTGAGCCTCGTTTGAGGCTAAGCGGCCTCTTTATTAGAATATATAAATTCTCTTTGAAAGTATTTGCTTTCAAATTTTATATTATTTAAGATCTAATCTTATATTTATTCGTCATTTATCACCTTATTATTAATAATATTCTCTTAAACAAGGATTAGGCCCTTTTTAGGGATCTCTTGCTTATAACACTGTAATGCATGTATCTGTAGCTGGATGAGAGGGAGCGAAAGTCCCTTACCATTCCCAATGGTAGAAGAAGTCAATGGTTTGAATCATCCACAATCATTTCTGCCGTCGTGCTTCTGCTTTCTTGTGCTGACCTTTAACATACGTCATCATACTATACACTAAACTTGTCCCCATAACGTGACGAAGGAACGATCGAGTTGCTACCTAAATGTTTACCAAACCATCCTGAGATGGAAAAATCTCAGTCTAGATGGTAGACCCAAGGCAGATCCCAGATACCCAGCTCAACATCCAAAGAAGTTATAATGCGAGCACCCGTTTGGCTACAACAGCGAGGTGTGACCTGCAGTCCTGTGTGTGTGAGGATTGTGAATATAACTAAAGGACACCTCATACAGTGCGTTACTCTAATTAGTGGCGTCAGTGAATACCCAGACTCAGCACATTACAAAGACTGACGTGGACGTGCTGTCTGGGATATGAGGGAGTTGGAGGGAGTGAACGTGTGCATTATTAGGCTACACAAGCGACAGGAACGAGAATACGCAGCGCGAACAAGGCACACATGAAAAATATCATTTATGAACGAAAGCTGATGAAAGATGCAATATTAGGCGAAGCATCGTGTTTAACGCTGCGTGAACTAGGTCTTGAGGTTTTTCCTGTGGGAGACGGAATGTCTTTGGTTATGCCCTGCCTCATCATCATCAGTTGTCGTTATGCCTAGTGACACATGAGGCTTCAGAGAGGACTTTCCATGCATGCCTGTCCTGTGCAATCTTCAGTGCAGTTTTCCATGCCAAAGATGCCACACTCAGGTCACTTTCCATCGTTCGTCTCCATATTGTTTTTGGGTGCCCCTTTTTTCTCTTTCCCTCTGGTATCCATGTGAGAGCTGTTTTGGCAGGTATATCAGGATTAATTTTCCTAACGTGGCCAAGCCATTTCCATCTTCTTTTGGTTATCATACTGTCTAGAGTTCCTTGGTTTGTGACTTGGAAGTAGTTTAGTATTTAAGATTGTATCCGTTGATTATTTTATCAGTAATGAACAACTGTTATTAAATTATTCTAGGCAAATTAGAGATGTTCTGTAGTCTAAAATTCCAGCTGGTCTTGATGATAATAAAAATTAAAACCCTGAAAGAAAAATCACAATAGTAAATAACATAACATAACCCTTTAGAGTTGTAGAGGTGTATCGAGGGAAGCACAACAAACGCCCCTATTTGTCTATCTTGCGCTTGTTAAGCAAGTGTATGATAACTTACTCCTGTCCATTTCTTGATGTCATTCTAGATTCTTCTTTACCCCTCCTCCACCCCCACCCCTGGTTTTTTCTTCGACTACCTCCTGCTCCTCCTAGTGTTCCCTGAAGTATAAATGTTTAAATTCAATCATGTCTCACCAGAACCAAACTTGCCTGCGACGTTTTACCACTTCCAAAAGAGGCTTCTGATGAGCTGCTAATTAACTTATTTTTTCCTTTTACATTTATTAGTTGTTGTTCAAAATCATTGTTTCCCAAACTTTTCTTAGTCGCAGCGCCCTTTTTTCAATTACAATTTTTCCACGGCGCCCTAACCTGAGTAAAAGTATGACTATTCGTATGTAAGAGATAAAAAGAAACTCGTGTAACTTCGAATATTTCGCGGCGCCCTTGTGAATAGGTCGCGGCTCCACGGGTTGCTGCAACGCACAATTCTGGAATCACTGTTCTAAATAACTAAATCGTAAAATTCGTCTATAGCATTTATATTCCAAAGCTTCTTTTTCCTCGCGTCATTTCCACGGTGAAAGTCCAACTCTCACACCTGTGTAAGAAGACAGACAATACCAGACAACATAAAAAAATATTTACCGACATGCGACGTCCACCGCCTTGTCTGGGTAGAGTTGCAGCTCCATAAGTAGATCCGAAATCGAAGCCTCCTCCTCCAAGATTACGGAGACGACAGACTTTGGGTATCGGACCCGTGGCCCGTCGTTCTGGTTCTTGTTCTTGGGGCCCGTCAAAACTGCTTTGGCTCTGAGTTTGAGAGCGTCCACTGTAGTGAGCCTACATTAAACGAAAATGTCATCGTGAAAATACGAAATACGAGAAAATTTTCAATGATGTTTGTATTCATGTTGAATGTTGAATTAAGAAGCGACACCACAGCACTCAGGACACTCCCATAAGCACAGAGTCTTCATCTTCAGCAGCAACCGAAGATTGTTTGTACAACATATCATTAAAAAATAAAGATATTCAAACAGACGGTCTACAAATGTCGATTACATTCTGGCGCGTCAATTCTTCACACTTGAAAACGTGAAACAATGTTTTTCCTTTCCCCAGTTTAGTCCTGCTTCTGCCACTACGTCACTGCAAGCGCACATAAATTATGTCAAAACAATCTAAAGTAAGCGTATGTTTGTCTATGTATAATTTTTCTTCTTTTTCTTGTTAACCAGCTGAAAACTTTAGCGGAAAGTTCTGAGTGTTCGTCCACTTCTGGACATTAGCCCTGTTCCAGAACCTAAATGTTGCGTGCACATCCGTTTTACATATCTGACTCATGCGTAAACAGACTGTTGGTTCCTAGCAGATGCACTCCAACTGCAAAAGAAACTCCCAATTAGTCCACTCTTACGACATGCTTTTGGGAAGGCAGTGGATTACAATAGGGCCCCACCCACACGGGGAATCTGTAATTTAAAAGATATCTACATTTGTTGGGATCATTAAAAGTTTGGAAAATAAACCGACACCACACAAACACACACAAACACATATACACATATACAGATGCCAGCGAGCGCACAGACACATACAGATGAGGATCACCCGGGGACAGGTCCTAGAAACCCCGTTCAACCCATAGGTTGGGTTATATGAGGGCCCCTGGCATGCCAGAGTGGGGTTTAAAAAAAATTGCGTTAGACATTGGACGTCTACAGTAGAAGAGGCATGCAAATTCAAAGGAAACTTCGAGAATTTGCTGTAGATACAGCAAATGTCTTCCTAGAACACCATCTATATCTGTCTGCATGGAATAACAATCCTGCAAATCCTGCACTTCGTTTTTATTGTCAACGCCAGATTTTATCGTGGGATCAGTCTTGCCTAGATTGGCATTACATGATATATATTCCCCAGCGAGTTTAACCATCCCACGAGTGTGTATGCAAGCGTGTGTAGGCGTGCGCGCGGGCAAGTCTGTGTGGTTGTAGCCCGTTAAAGGTTTTCGAAGCCACGCAAACTCTAAAATCCTGAAATTAATGCGACGCAAACGTTTTCAGAGCAGTGTTCTTCAAGGAGGGGGCCCATTGGTGGGACTCGAAAAATTAATAATGGGTCGGCACAATTGTTTGATTTTGTACTTTTGTACATTTTGTACCATACAAAGCATACATGGAAAGAGAAGAAGGACGTAGAGCACGGGGTAGACCAAGAACAAGATGGAAGGATAACATCAGGGAAACTCTACAACACCACGATGTGCCTATGGTCGAGGCAGCCAGAAGAGCTAGAAACCCACAGCGGTAAAAGAGGAAGTGAAGAAGTGAAGAAGAAGAATTACATTGTGTAAAAGTAAAGTAACAAAACGATAGACTGTTTTAACGCCAGTGTTGCATAAGGTATATGGTGCTGAACACATTTTTTATAGACCAGTGAGCTCTTACTTGGTAGTGGAACATTGTATAATAACTTTATAACAGTGCCTCCCGACCTTCCTTATGGTCGCCAATTGTCCTTTTCTGATTTTTAGAGAGGTGTTTAGAAATTTCAGGTGAAACTTTTTTTAAAATTCTTCGTTACCAAGATTTATACAGAATATTTCACACAAATCTGTCCAAGTCTAGAGTTTTTCGGTACGCTGCTACACATAATAACAACATGTCAGTTAGAGAGGACGAGCGTTTGGAAAAAGACATTAAGAGAAGAAGGCTAATATTTAGATGTCACTGCAAGGCAGCAGTCTTGGTGAGGTTAATACTTGAAACTAACAACAGAAGTCTCTGGGCTAACCACGAGGAGGAGAGAAAGAAGAAGGAGAAAGATAAGATGACGCAGGAATAATAAAAATAATTTTAAAAAAAAAACCGTTTTAGTATTGTTTAAATAATTAGGTTAATTACCGCTGATGCGCCTCTTGGCAAAGTTGCATACACAGTTCCGAAGTCCAACCCGCCTCCTCCAAGTTTGGTCAGTTTGGTGACTTTCTTGGGTGCAGACTGCTGCGCCGCCCATGGAGGCACAGGGGTCGTTGGGGTCGGAGTTGATGGGGGCTGGCTATAAGACGAACGCTGGCGCTCAAAGTTGTGATGGAAGTTGGGGCCGGGGGAGGCGTACACGTGCAGTGGTTGATGGGGTGGCCTATACTGTGGTTGTTGGGAGGGTCCGTTGTAGGATGCACTGAAGCTAGGCTGAGTCATTTGTATGGTGATGGGACGTGATGGAGAGCTGGAAATAGGGACCTGAAACAAAATATTTGATTAAGCAAAAGTAGCACTATGTTTGTAGATTGATAAATTAATTGTTACTTGTCTTGATTGTTCATTATTAACTTTATGAGTCCCAAGTAGCGCATTGTGTGTAATAGTACACTCACATGCATCAGTTCTATTACATCATGTTTTTACATCTGGCTACAACATACTAAAACATCCGGCCATTCCACTGTATACTAATCTCTTTGAAAGTAATGTACTCATTCTTTTATAATGGCAATTCACCCCCCCCCTCCCCCACTTCTCCTTTCCCTTGAGCATCTACTCATTAATCTTCTGGTACTGAAAGAGTTAAGAAAAGTTGAAAAACAAATATGACATGGATACCGTGTACAGAATTCACAAACCGCTTTCAGCATATGTTGTCAGTTTGTATCTCCCTATGCAGTAGAACGATCTGTAGTTTATATTACTTCCTGAAGGGCCGGATGTTCAGAAAATTATGGAAATCAACACAAATCATTTAGTTGCCAAATCTTTTGCAGTGACTTCGAATCCAGGTATGGCGAATTAAGAACTGCGTTAATAACCCCCAGGGCCTACACGACATTAGGTTGATCATCAATCAGGGGCCGTCTCCACGGTGAAAGTTGGCTGCAAGGATCTCAACACACTCTCTTGTCCTGAGTCTTGTCCTGGTTGTACACTATCTCAGATTGCTGCCCCTCCATCACTTGATGTTGTCCTTACACTTGTATCCTTACCCACCTCTTGTTTTCTTGTCTTCGACCTTTCCCTCCAATTTGGTTTTTTAAAGTATGGTCAAAGTATTTCAAGTGTCTCTTTTTATTTTATTTATTCAGTACTTCTCTTTTCATTTGTAGCCTTTCCATAACCTCTGTGTTGGACTGTTTTGTTCCCATGACCTATTCTTACGAATACCCACATCCCCATAGACTCAGTTTTTTTTTTTAGTTGCTTGTTCATGGACTAAGCTTAGGATGTATTTTCTTGTCTAGGTTCAGTAGAGTCATACCACGAGGTGTCTTGGAGAGCAGCTGTTTATGTTCTACAGTAAATTGTGTTGCACTGACTGATGTCAGCCTGTATTGCTGCATTGTGTCGTTTATTCTTTTGTTTCTTTGTCACTCTTGTGCTGTGTTATTCATTCTTCTACAGTTGATGCACCCGGGACAGTTTTGCAGGCCCTAACTTACGAAACACCATGCATGGTGATATCATTCTTCGTTTGAAATTGCTTCCTAGTTTAGCTTCTCTAGTCACATTAATAGCTTTTTCGGGTAACGTAATCTCTAATCTTTAGAACAAGTGTAATAGAAAGGGTCCGGCCATTTATTCTATGGACAGAAGAAAGAAGAGAGTCATAGCAACATCCATACACGAAGCGCGCGGGGGCGCGCGCGCGTACACACACACACACAGACACACACACACAACTCTCGGTATATTTAGACTTTATAATCACACTGCAACATGCTAAATGGAAGCCAACAAGTCCAGACAAATGAGTTGTGTAGAATTACATTACCTCAGTTTCAGTCTCACTGCTGACCATATTGCTGTTGTCTGCGAAGACAATATCCCAGATCTAGGGGGAAAGTTGCCATGCCAAAGCAGTTGTCATGCTGTGTAGATGCTAGAGTGTTGATTTCACTTTCAACGGACACAAATTTCCAGCTTTACCAATGAAATGAAATCATGCCCCACAATTTGGGAGCCAGTATTCTAAACTAGTGGTGGAACTCATTTCGTAAACTGTATACAATACTCCGACTTTTTCTTTCAAAAACTCAAATTAATCAATTAATGCATCTCCTTTGGGCATGTTGTTTTACGTCACATTGCATTATGCATAGCTAGTGTCAAAGACAATGAGAGAGCAAACACCCTGGCTGACAGTGAGACCATCTGGAATGGACAGTAAAGACATCATTAAAGCCATACGAGAGACTAAACATTGTGAGGCTTTCAGTTTCGTGGAAAATGATCTTTCACTAATAAGACTGCATACCCTGGCTGTACCCGTCGGAACAGCGAGACAAGAAAACCACGCGGGAGCAACCCGTCGTTACATCAACCAGAACAGAATTGGAGTTGGTCTAAAAACACTTGGAGCCATACTCAGTTTGAGATTGGAGCACTTATGGTTACGTCTGATGTGTGATATAGATGATCTCAAAAAGGAACAATGAACAATGAAGATTAATATGGTTGTCACTATATATGTGCTATTCAGTCGGTGCTACGTTCTCAGACGCAGAAGCCATTAGCATCTATTATACTGACTGTTACTTTCAAGAAGTTGTTTGTATAGACCATATAATGATCCTGCAGTCTTCTGATTTACTGATTTAAGAATCAACCTCATAGCACACCGGGTATACTCATAGGTGTTCCGTCTCTCTCAGTCTTATGGATGCTAACAGTTCTCGTAGCACACTAATTGTAGACTGCTCTTTCTCTCCGTCTCATACGCTAAATTTGCTCGATCTACACCTAATACCTCGTTCACACATCCTTAAACATTTTATTTCATCCAGCCTCGTGTTTTGTAGCATTCGTTAATGAATTGGATTTTTTTTACCCCACCAGGACATCACACAAGCGATAAACACCCGATGACACAAAGTGCCACCATGCGGATGAGGTCAACGTGGAGAGGTCCCAGAAACCGCGTTCAGACATTTGGCCATAATGATGACCTGCCTATATTGCGGCCCCTGGCAAAAGCCAGAGTGGGGCTTCAAATAACAAAAAATTACGTCCTAAAAAGGACGTAATGATTGAATAGGAATAGTCTTCGAACGCTTTATTCCTAGGTGACTTAATCGGGTTAGCGCAAGTGAATAATCCCTACCAATCAGATTAGTTCATACACCGTTTTACGTTTAAGTTGTTATTAATCAAACGATGTTAAGCAACATCATATTTCGCTTTAGACTGGGATGACACTGTAATTTGACTTTGTATTTTTTAAAACACATTTTTATGATTTCTATGAACAAGGGGTGTTGTGCACGTATGACAGCCTACCTGGTGTGACGGTTCTTGTGTAGCACCGTGAGGGGAGACAATTCCTGCCGAAGGTCTGGGCGGCGGTCTGTGAAAAGACATGGAGAATAATTCAGTATTCAATGTTCTGGTGAAGAGATATGAACATTAATTACCCGTTGACAAGTAATTAAAGGTATGGGAGATATGAATATTAATTACCTGTTGACAAGTAAGTGAGGGTATGGGAGATATGAACATTAATTACCTATTGACCAGTAAGTTAAGGTATGGGAGATATGAACATTAATTACCTATTGACCAGTAACTTAAGGTATGGGAGATATGAACATTAATTACCTGTTGACAAGTAAGTTAAGGTATGGGAGATATGAACATTAATTACCTGTTGACAAGTAAGTTAAGGTATGGGAGATATGAACATTAATTACCTGTTGACCAGCAGTGAAGGTATGGGAGATATGAACATTAAGTACCTGTTGACCAGCAGTGAAGGTATGGGAGATATGAACATTAAGTACCCGTTCACCAGCAAATGAAGGTATGGGAGATTTGAACATTAATTACCTGTTGACCAGAGCGAAGGTATGGGAGATATGAACATTAAGTACCTGTTGACCAGCAGTGAAGGTATGGGAGATATGAACATTAAGTACCCGTTCACCAGCAAATGAAGGTATGGGAGATTTGAACATTAATTACCTGTTGATCAGAAGCGAAGGTATAGTAGAAATGAACCTTAAGTACCCGTTCATCAGAAAGTGAAGGTATAGGAGATTTGAACAGTAATTACCTGTTGATCAGCAAGTGAAAGTATGGGAGATATGAATTTTGATTATCTGTTGACCAGCAAGTGAAGGTATGGGAGATATGAACATTAATTACCTGTTGACCACTAAGTGAAGGTATGGGAGATATGAACATTAATTACCTGTTGACCACTAAGTGAAGGTATGCCCCGGGCTGTTTAATGAGATTCTGGGCCTCAGCCTGGGTCAGATAAGAAGCGTCCACGTTATTGACAGACAAAATGACGTCACCTCTCTGAAGCTCTCCTTCTGCAGGGCTGTTAGAAAATACCTGGGGGAAAGAGAACAAGTTGAAACAGTTCACTGATGTTGCAAGTATGAGATTTAAGCTATAGATACTAAGCGATATCTGGTAAACGCTAACTGATGTTAGGGAGTCAGAATTTACAAATATAAACATCACATTTATCGTCATCGTCTGTCTTTCGGGTATTTCCCCTTTGCTCCCCCTTTTTTTCCAGATAAGTAGCGGCGTCTGTGGCCTAGGCGTTGCGAGTCCGACTCGTAATCCAACGTACCGCGATCTAAACCCACTGCTGGCTGCGTGGATTTTTATCATGGAATGGGGCGTCGCAGGTCGACCCAACCTAAAATGGGTACCATGATGGCTGGCCTGGGGAAGTAAAGACGGCCAGCGTAATGCTGACCACATTACCCATCCCGTGCCGATTGGTCTGCGAAAATATGGGACGCTCTTTGCATATACCCGATGCGCCTAAGGCGTGAAAAGGGGTCTTTGATCCCCCGCCCCTTTTTTTTTTAATTTTAAAATCAACAGTTTCAAAATGTTCGCACAACTACTGGTCACCAATTCAGAATATCTTGCAAACTGAAGTGGGATTACAGTGTTGTGTGGATGTTTCGCAATAGACTGTAAGTAGTGTCGTTTTTAGTAATTTACTACAATAATTCTCAACGGGAGCCGTCTCGAAGATATTAATAAGGTTTGAATCCTCATCGATAACTATTTTTGTTACTGACCTGGCTTTTACAGGTCGACTCTGCCTACAATGAGCACAGAAAATGCAACTAGAAATAATAGCTTATCACAACACCAATTACAATGTGAACATTAATTAGCTTTGACCAGCAAGTGAAGGCATGGGAGGTGTGAACATTAATTACCTGTTGGTCAGCAGTTCAACAATAAAATGATGTGTCTGGCATCATTAGTCATATGTGGCAGTGATATGATCAGAATAAAAATTTACACAACATAGTGGTCATTGCTGAACTGCCTAAAATAGCGTTTAAATGAATGTGAGAGGTTTGATGAATTTGCATCTGACATACTCTGTCTGCCCAGTCTATGTCTGCAGAACAGTCAACTGGCTGCTGAAAGAGTAGCCTACAGCATATTCTCCATAGCTTCATTGTCAGTACTCGTGGATATCTGAATGTTGAATTGAGAATCTATATCACAGCACTCAGGACAACCCCGTAAGCGCTCCGTCCGCATTTTCAGCAGCAAGAGAAATTTACCAGTTCCAAAGGCACCAGTAACTGTCTGACGGTACACCCACGACCGGTTCTAGCTGACAGGTCGTGCCGCTGACGTCATCGGTCGGGCTAACCATGCGTTAACGCAGCGGTTCTCAAACAAGAAATACACTTTTAAGTATCTACATGCCTTCTTTAATCATTTCACAATTTTTAGCCCACTGTTCTTGATTATTGCCGCGGCACCCCTGGAATACACCCACGGCCACCTAGTTTGGAACCGCTGCGTTAAGGTATCTTTAGCACTCCCGTCAGCTGGAGCCGGTCTAGGTAAGAGACAGGTTATGCAACTCACTGTAATGCTTTATTTGTGGTTCACCGTGTTATGCAACTCACTTCAGTGCTTCATTTGTGGTTCGATCTGTTATGCAACTCACTTAAATGCCCTGTTGGTGGTTTAATCTAGTGTTTAATGTTTGAACTTTCTGTCACCAAATTTCCATTCTAATACATGCAAAACATTAATTGTTATTTGACAGTGAACGCTTCCTTATTTCATGTCAGTACATCTTTAAATGCTGTTAAATTTTGAGCCCGATTTCCAGAATACACCTACTTGAATGGACATTATTTGCATTTCATTGAAAAACTAAAATAATACTAAAAATGACACAAATAGATATTCCAATGCTACTTCCAGAGCGAGATAGCTGTAATCATAACATAACCGACACTTAATAGGCAAGATAAATATTAAGATCGTATAATAAATTGAGTAAAAACAATTTTACAGAAGTAAACATTGATTTTTGTGTGCGCATTACCGGGATAATTATGTTTATTGTACTTTATAGTTCAACCAAATGTTGGTAACCATCCTGTCACTATAATATGTACAGGCACGTAGAGATTCTGAAACATATTCAACATTGAAGGAGAAAAAAGGCGGACTTTCAACCAGATTGCAACTGGAACTATTAGCATGTCAACTCTTCGTTGGTAGCCGAAGAAGGAGACGGAGCTCGTGTAGGAATGTCCCGAGTGCAATGATATCAATTCCTGATTCATTCACTAATTCATTCATTCATTCATTCATTCATCCATATTCATTCATAGGCATCTTGCGTTGTCTTCTCAGTACCAGTCTATTTATTAAACGTTTATCAGTTAGTTTGTTAGTTAGTCGACATATTATACTTATTGCAAATCGAATAATTCAGTCCATAAGTGCTCGGATCCCCTCCTTAGTAAATCCTGCAGCGTGTAGCTGCTTATGGTTCTGTATTGGTTTCTTATTCTTCCTTGGCTTCCTGCATCGTGCTCTTGTCTCACCATACCCCTTTTAACATGTTGTTCTTGCAGTCTGGTCATTGGTTCAAATTTACAGTCATCACTTGGTTCCCACAAACGTCTTACTTCTCGTAGAGATTTCAGAATATCAGCATGGTCTATAACTCGTTGTTCCTTTACAATAGTTTCATCTGCAAGCTGATCAGCTTGCTCATTTCCTTGCACACCTGCACGTTTATCAGTAATTCCTAACATGATTTCTTTTTTGCTTAAATCTTTGTGTCTCACCTTATTGTTACATTAATCAATTATATCCCAAATGTTATTTAACGCCGTATGTTCAGTTAGGATATTATTTGAACTCTTAAAGACTAAAAGGCATCGTCCCTGAAGCTAAGGGGTTCGTGTCATGCGCGACGCTCTCGACAGATAGTTTGTCGTTTTGCGGAGAAAGACCGAGCCGTAGGAGTGAAAACCAGTGTAATGAAGTTGATTTTCTTGATTTTTAGCTCAGTTACTTAAAACTGCTTCAAATAGAATGAGCTGAGGTAACATATACGTGGGGCTCAGAGGGTTAGAAACTCTGGACCCCTCGTGTGTGGGTTCCGGGGCCCACATTTTATTGGGGACAATAATAGACCCACTGCCCCCTCTAACCAAGCATATCGTAAATGGCCACTAAGTAGGGATGTTTTCTTCGAATTCAGAGTGCATATGCTTCGGAGGTTAGGAACCAATAGTCTGTATACAAAGAAGCCAATTTCTGTAAAACAGATATGCACGCAGAACTCAAGCTCTGGAACAAGACGAAAATCCAGAAGTGGACGAACAACCTGAAGTCACTGCCAGAGTTTACAGCCGGTTAACGTGAAGAGGATTGTATGTTTCGCATTACCAAGAAATGCAAAGCGAGTTTAGTTCTGACAGAATTAATCGCCATAATGGTTCGGTGGTAACAGTTAATAGAGGGTCGGTTTCGTTCATGAAGAAGAGGCAGGGAACGACTGTCGCGACATGGGCACAGAATACAGATGAAACCATAAACGCATGTGAGCTGTTTGGTACTAAAGAGCTTGGGTTTACAAAATGTATTTAATGTCCAGAGAATGAACGTCATTAACCCCGGTTTCATCAATGTCTGGATTTATGTGAATGTATTGTATCTGTGTGTATGTGTTGTATCTGTTTGCATGTGTTGCGTCTGTGTGTATATGTTGTGTCTGTGTTGTGTCTGTGTGTATGAGTTGTGTCTGTGTGTATGTGCTGTGACTGTGTGTTTGTATTCTATTCATGATTTTGTGTATGCGTTGTGTCTGTGTGTGTGTGTGTGTGCTTGTGTTGTATCCGTGGTTGTGTGTATATGTTGTGTCTGCGTGGATGTGCTGTGTCTGTGTGTATATGTTTTATTCGTTATAGTGTGTATATGTTGTGTCTGTGTATGTATTGGGTCTGTGTGTATGTGCTATGACTGTGTTCTATTCATGATTTTGTGTATATGTTATGTCTGTGTGTATGTATTGGGTCTGTGTGTATGTATTGCGTGCGTGTGTATGTATTCTGCCCGTGACTATGTGTATGTATGTTTAATTTACGTGTGTTTCATCAATGTAAGCGCTTCTGGGTGTGTAAGGGTGAGTGTGTGAGCTTGTATGTATGTCTGCAGTATGTAGTTTTGCATGTATATTTGAAGGTATTTATTTGACATTCATGACTTTGTATTTTTAATTTACATTTACACAATGAATTTCGAAATATGAAAATAATATGCTTGATATATTGAATATAACTGTTGTATGAAAGGTAAATGCTTGGAAGTACTGAATGTAAGACGAGCCTGGGTGACAATTTGTAATCCTTTGGGAATAAAGTTCGTTCGTTCAGTTTGATCCGGCTTATCTCCTTACAGTAGCCGTCTGCCCGTATGTTTATGACACAAAGTTAAAAAAAAAACAACAACTGTGTAACAGCAGAGAAAAAACTTAGGACAACACTCTAAAGTCTATTCTCTTAAGAACAGACAGAAATCAGACAGACAACTTTCAGAGTGCGAGGCGAACGACTTCACTTCTTGGCTACAAAAATCATACAAATGCCACTCACAGCCATGCGCAACAATATGGTTTTATAAGAAGGTAAAAGTAAACAGGAGCGCTAATAAGTAAAGTAAAATAAGTAAACGACCTTTTCCACGCCCTTAGGCTTATAGTGCATATAGGGCTAGACCTATATTTTTTATAGACCAACGACACAAGATGGGTGATGTGGTCAGCATCACGCCGGCCGGCTCTACTTCCCGGGACTGCACCCGGTACCCACTCAAGGCTGGGTCGATCTGGGATCCAAGGTCATTTTTGAAGAAAAGTCCGGCTCCGCCAGGGAGCGAACCCGCGACCTTCCGATCCGCGGCGCGTCTAGCCGCTCTGCCATGGCGACTCCCATCAGGAAGAAAACACTGAGGAGGAGGAGAAGGTGAAGGAGGAAGAGGATCAAAAGGAGGTGGAGGAGAGCAGGAGAAAAAATGGAGGGAAAGGGGAAAGAGGG